GGAAGGAAGGAAGGAAGGAAGGAAGGAAGGAAGGAAGGAAGGAAGGAGAAATTATACTCTAGTAAAACAACTAACTGATAAGGTCATTAGCTAGAAGGCAAAATGAGTGTCCAAGTCCATGGGAGAGCAGGATGAGCAGAAGAAAGACCTGTGAGATGGGTCATGACCTCACCTCAGTCCCTGGAACCCACATAAAGGTGGAGGGAGACAACTAGCTCCTGAATGTTGCCCTCTGACCTCCACACACATACCCACACACACACACAATAATAACTAATAAAATCGGGGGTGGGGGAAGGAAGAGGCAGAAAAGGGTCATCTCAATGCAGAAGTATAAGCCGGGCCTGAGAAGAAAGACGAAAAGAAGAGTCTAGTTCTGAGTAAAAGAGTAAACAGAAGGGAGGCGCTTGCTCAGTGAGTAAGCAGTGGGCACTGAGGAGCTGTGAGAGCGATCACTGTCTCCTAAGCCGTGACTGCAGTACAAGTGGCTCTGGAGTGTCTCTCTCAGGAGAGCAAGACAGCAATCTGTAAGGCACAATCTAACAGCAATCCACAGTTGAATGAACCACCATTATTAGAGGCATTGCTACAACTAGAACCTATTCTCTACTGGGCATGCTTACAAGCAGGGTGGCGTGGGGTTTACATCTGGAGGACGGAAGAGTTAGGAACAGGACAACTCGATTATTTGATGTGATATTTACTTTTATACAAAAGAACAGTGACACGGGATGTGAAGAGGAGACATTTTTTGGTTCTAGCAAAATCAAGACAGGAATAAAATTTTCCAGGCTTCAAACAGCAATAATTCCTCAAAATTCTCTGTTCTGATGCTTTATAAATGTGGATTCCCAGAAACTACACTACCAGAAACAGATGACCTCTATTTCAAGGTACAAGTACAGTTGCTCCTCTGTCCCAACAGGTTCTATGCCCACAGAATCATGCAACTCTGTGTGTGTGTGTGTCGCGTAAAACTGGAGGCCAAGCACACATCTTTAATCTAGGGAAGCAGAAGCAAGCTTGAGGACATCCTGATCTACATTGCAAATTCCAGGTCAGTCCCAGTGACAGTGACGCCCCATCTAAAAAACAAAAATCAGATCTCTACTGAATCTGTATAGACTTTTTCTTCTTGTTGCTTAAACAATAAGATAGAACTACTTACATTTATTAGGTATTACTTTTATTGTTTGTTTTGAGACAAAGCCTCCCTATGCGGCCTAAGTTGGCCTAGAACTTGCTCTGTAGCCTGGGCTAGTCTGGTGCTCCTGATCACCTCTGCAATGCTAGCACTGTAAGTACGTGCCATGATGCTCAGTTGTATTAGGTACCATACGTAAGCTAGCGATGACTTAAAGTGCACAGGAGGACATGCATAGGGTAAGGAACATAAACACTACACCGTTTTATTTAAAGGACTTGAACATTTCCAGATGTGGGCATTTGCAGTAGTCCTGGAACGAACGTCCCAGAGATACTAAGGGACCACACTGTAAAATCCCTTCTGTGGTAGCTGTTCCATTGCAGTGTATCCACTCGGTCTCTCTGTAAGCCTCATCATCATAATTCAACATCTAAACCCTAATTAACTCTGGGGCTATACGTTCACCTTCAAGGTTCACAAGACTGAACCAGAACTATCACATATAAGACATCTGGCCAGGCTGGAGAGATGGCTCAGTGGTTATTATCACTTTCTGTTCTCCCAGAGGACCTAGTGTTAACCCCCAGCACCACACAGTGGTTCATAACCATCCATAACTGCAGTTTCAGGGGATCTGATGTCTTCTGACCACAGGTACCAGGCCTGGACATGGTATGGACATGCACAGAGCCAAAACACCCAAACACATAAAATAAAAACACATCCTTTAAAAGAAAAATAGACACCTGTCTCCCTCCCTAATTAAATTAATAAGTAGAATTTCTAAGTAATGTTGGTCCAGAGGATCTTTCAGGGTTACAACTTAACATCATAACCAAGAAGTTACAGCTATTAAAACAGCCAATATCCTCAAGCTCAAATTGGACATGCTCTGTTAGCATTCACAGAATAAGCACAGATCAAATGCCTATGGAAGGAAACTCCCGGGCTTAAGTTCATAGTTTAATAATGCATCCCAAGCTAATGGAGCCTTTTTAAAATTAGATCTGTTTATTTAATATTTATTAATGTATATCACATGAGTGCCTGGGAATTAGATGGTTGTGAGCTGCCAATGTGAGTGCTGGGAACTGAACCCAGGTCTTCTGAAAGAGGAACAAGGGCTCTTCTTTAACCTCTGAGGCACGTCTCCAGCACTAAGGTGGGTGGTCCTTATCAGCTGTTGTTCACTCCATACCTTTAACATCTAGGATGGCTATCTGTCACTGAGAACTGAGTTAACTGTTCCCTGGGCCTCTAGGATTGCAGACTTCACGTTTCATAGCTTTAATTAAGATGGCTGATCACAGTTCACAGTAAACAATTTGACTGCTACCTTCCTTACCCATCTAAAGAATGGACTAATTTTCCCTAAGTTACCTCTAATATTATTTGTTTTTATAATACTGGGGATTAAATCCAGGGTCTCACATGTCACAGGTAGACATTCCAACCCTGTGTCACACCCCCGAGTCCTCAAGTTACTTCTTACCTGCCTTTATTTCAAGACTGTAATTCAGGGTTCTTTCTAAGTAGCAGTTACTGACTACTGCAGCTGCAGAACTGTAGAACTGGATGTGTTTAGGTTTTTTTCCCTCGGTTTTGTGTTTTCCTTCTCCTTCCTCCTCTTCCCTCCTCCACACAGACTCACTTTTCTGTCTCTCAGTAATGTTTCACTCTGCAGCCAAGGCTGGTCTGGAACTGAAGGTGATCATTCTGCCTCAGCCTCCTGGGAACTGATTACAGTGGCATGTAGAAGCATGAACCACTCACTGCACTCAGCTACTTGAGGTGGTCTTCCTTTTGGGTTGGTACCCTTGCCTTGCTAGTTTTCTTATGAAGTACAGCCTATATAAGACAATGGATGGGAAATTACTTAAGAAGACACAGTCAATGCAAATCAAATAAAGTCACTTGGAAGTTTCATAAAAATCCTCAAGAAACTTTAACATGGAGCTTGATACAATGTTATCAATAGAGTTTCTGTGACAGATGTTTTCTGATTCCCTTTTTTTTCCTTCCTAATTTTAGTGTTTTAACATGGACCTTGATACAATGTTATTACAGTTTCTATAACAGATGTTTTCTGATTCTGTTTTTTTCTTTTCTTCCTAGTTTTAGTGCTTTGTGTTTTGTGATATGCACATGCAGAGGTCAGAGGAAAACTTCTGGGGATCCAGGCCTTCCTTTCACTGTGGGTTCTGGGGATCGAACTCAACGGTTGTCAGGCTTGTGCAGCAAGTGCTTTTACCAGCAGGCTCAGCTCACCATATTCTATTTCTACTTGTATGCACTCTCTGGCCTTCACTGTGCTGACAGAAAAGTGGGCCTGTATGCTCGCTGAATAGGTCATTCTGAAATGAGTCTTCACCTCAAAATACTGTCCATGTAAAATCTCATAAATTCAGATAAGCATTTCAACCTACAAGATGTCACTAACAGCCAGCAAATGTCCTCTATACTACAATCTGAACAGCTTTCATCTGCCACCCCTTTCACAGCTACTGAAGAAACTAAACAGCAGGCATGATAAGACAGCTGGAGACACCAACCTCAGTCATTTCCTGGAAGCACACTTAAAAGATGCCTGATCCAAGAAAAAAAAAAAAAAGATTGTGAAAGACTTAATTTTATGTCTAACGGGAATGATACACAGCTGTGGAAATTCGAGAAAAGATAGAGCATGCCTAGTGCTTAGAGATTTTATGGCAGCGAAAGCAATAGAGATAAAAGAAGGGGGGCGGGGGAGGGGATGTATTTTCTAAACCAGGGTTGTGTGGCATTCAGCTCAGACTAGAAGCCGAGTACTCAAAAGCACAGCTCACAGCAGAAACACTCAGCTCTTTCAAGTCCAGAACCTCTCAGAAGAAACAGACCAGACTACTGTTCTCCATTTCTTAGGGGATTTGAAAAAAAAAAAAAAAAAAAAAAACTCAGACTGGCCTTTGAGGTGAGTGGATGAACAGTTAGTCCTCTGTGTATCCCACGTATGAGCTCTCTCCCAGCCAGCCCCTCCTCTCTTCATGAGATTTCTCAACCAACCCTACTCAATTGTACGCAGTATGTGAAGATTTTCAAGATCTCACAAAAACATAATCTCTGAAGCCCCCAAGAAAGGCCTTCCTTGACATTAAGTAGAACGTCCAAGCATACGTCCAGAGGTCAACAACGGACTGCAGGAGCCACACACACACCCAAGATATTATAGGATAAATGCCTTGGGGCTGCATCTTCAAGGGGCTTTGCTTTCAACACTTAGGGGATACCAGAGGAGAGCAGCGGCCTTCCAGGTGAGCAGACTCTAATCCCCAACAAAGCTTGGGACAGTAAAGCGCCCCTTAGGCCCCACGAAGAGAATCCTTTCCTTCGTGGGGCGTTTGGCTGTCTGAAGCGGCGGGAAAATCTCCTTCGTTTCAAATCGGAAAATGGAAAGAATGAGAACTGGCTTGAAGACGCGCGAGTTGGGAATTAAAAGCCCGGCTCGGCTGACCTCCTGCAAGAGCAAGACGTGATTCACACCGGGCCCGAAAAGGGGGACCAGGATGGTGCAGTAGGGAGCCCCGCCACGAACGCGGAGCAGCCCCGGACCGCGCGCACACCCGGGCCGCGAGAAAGGGGCACCCCGAGGGGATCGGTGCTTACCCACTTCCAAGGCCGGGACACAGCGGCGGTGCAGATCCCGTTCTCTCGGACAGCGCCTTCCTCTTATGCCGCAGGCTCCACACACCGCTCCGCCCGCCGCTCCCCGAGTCCGGGGCCCGCGGCCGTATTTAAATGCCTCTGCTGGGGAAGGCGGAGGCTTCATTCCCCTGCAGCCAGGCCTCCCGGGACTCTGGACTCGGCCACCGCCCCGCACTGCCCCGCCTCCCTCCGCTCCAGGCCCCCGGGGCAGGCCTCTATTTCCTTCTGGACCCAGCGCGGCATAGGGGGCGGAGTCCGAAATGTATGCTCACGCCCCTTGCGGAGCAGGACGAATCAGCTCGAGCCAACTCACGGGCTCCGCCCCCGCCCCAGCGAGCGGCGCTGGGCGTGGCTGCGTGCGCCGCGGGTCCCGCTAGGCTGACCAGCTGCAGGGAGGGGCGTCGTGGTCGGGGTTGGTCGTCTTGGTCGTCGTGGTCCGTGTTCCTTCCCCATTCCAGGTCCCTGAAATCTGGGATGGGGAAAGTTCGCGCGTGCCAAGTGAACCACCCGTGATCATAGGGCCTGGGAGGGGAGGGCGAGCCCACAGAAAGGTCTTCCGGCTTTCTGACCTTCCCCTTATCCTGGAGCCGGAGCTCGGTTCTCAGCCCCTGGACTCGGATGGAGGGCCCCCGCTGCTCTTCCATGCCCTTCAAGCCCTTGGGTCCGCCGCGCCCTTCAAACAGCTGCCCAGAGTTTAGTCACGTCCTATCCGGATGGCGACGGGTCTGGGAAGGAGATGCCTCAGGTCGAAACGATGCTGAGTTTCCTCATGACTGAACCAGTGTCTCCCGGTTGCTTCTTGGCCAGAGAACCTGGGCGCCTACGCCTGGAGGGCGTATTTTCCAGGAAAACTTTCCAGCCAAATTCTAGAGGGGAGGTTGTCTGCATGATGCATAGCAAGGCGTATGCAGCATAGACATGTGTGGGTGGGTATTTGCGTGTGTGTATGAGGTACTAAGATTGAACTCCACCGCTGAACTGTCCCCAGTCCTTACAAATGCATAGAAAGAGTAAAATTGTGGCCTGGAGAAAGGGCTAAGGGGCTCACTCCCCAGAACCCACATCAGGGGACTCAAAACTCCCTGAAACTCTAGCTCCAGGAGACCACGCTCTGTCCACCAACACAAACATACATAGACATCTGTACGCATAAACTTTTTTTTAAAAAGTAAAATTATTTAGCACGCCCACGGGAGTCTTTTGAGACATGGTCTCTGAGTAGAGGTGGCAGCAGGTCTGGAACTCTGTGTAGTTCAGACTGGCTTTGAATTTGCAGTGATCGCCTTACCTGACCTCCCAGGAATCATGATTACATGTGTGCTCACTTTTGATGTGAAAGTTTGTTGTGTTTCTTTTGCTACTAAAAGATCATCTTAAGCCTGATATCAAAAAAAGAGAAAGGGCCAGGCACAAATACCTCATCAGTGGTGATACGTTCTGAGAAATGTGTTGGGTACATTTGTTCTTGCACGTCATCATGTACTTAATCAAACCAAGCTGGCAATGACATCAGTCCTTGGTATAATATGGGACCACCCTATATGAAGTCAGCCCTTGGTGAAATGATGTTATGTAATGCTTGACTGTACCTCATGGGGAAAGCAATTAGGAAATGTTGAAAGCACATTGAGATGCAGTAGGTCTGAGGAGGTGGCTCAGTGAGCAAAGTCGTCGCTATGCAAGCACAGAGGTCTAAGTTCAGTTTCCTCAGGCTCAAGTGAAAAGCCTAGTGCTGGGCCTGGAAAGATAGCTCAGTAGTTAAGAATGAAGACTGCTTTTCATGATGACTAGGGATGTTGACATTTCTTTAGGTGCTTCTCAGCCATTCGAGTTTCCTCAGTTGAGAATTCTTGTTTAGCTCTGTACCCCATTTTTAATAGGGTTATTTGGTTGTCTGGAGTCTAATTTCTTGAGTTCTTTGTATACATTGGATATTAGCCCTCTGTCGGATGTGGGAGTGGTAAAGATCTTTTCCCACTCTATTGGTTGCCGTTTTGTCCTGTTGACAGTATCCTTTGCCTTACAAAAGCTTTGCAATTTTCTGAGGTTCCATTTGTCAATTCTTGATCTTGGAGCATAAGCCATTGGTGTTCCGTTCAGGAACATTTTCCCCTCTGCGCAAGTATTCGAGAGTCTTCCCCACCTTCTCTTTTATTAGTTTCAGTGTATCTGGTTTTATGTGGAGGTCCTTTATCCACTTGGACTTGAGCTTTATACAAGGAGATAAGAATGGATCGATTTGCATTCTTCTACATGCTGACCTCAAGTTGAACCAGCACCATTTATTAAAAATGCTGACATTTTTCCACTGGATGGTTTTAGCTCCTTTGTCAAAGATCAAGTGACCATAGGTGTGTGGCTTCATTTCTGGGTCTTCAATTCTATTCCATTGAACTTCCTGCCTGTCTCCGTACCAATACCATGCAGTTTTTATCACTATTGCTCTATAGTACAGCTTGAGGTCAGGGATGGTGATGCTGGCGAGTATGTGGAGAAAGAGGAACACTCCTCCATTGTTGGTGGTACAAGCTGGTACAACTTGGAAATCAGTCTGGTGGGTCCTCAGAAAATTGGACATAGCATTACCTGAAGACCCAGCTATACCACTCCTGGGTATATACCCAGAAGATGCTCGAACATATAACAAGGACATATGCTCCACTATGTTCATAGCAGCCTTATTTATAATAGCCAGAAGCTGGAAAGAACTCAGATGTCCTTCAACAGAGGAATGGATACAGAAAATGTGGTACATTTACACAATGGAGTATTACTCAGCTATTAAAAACAATGAATTCGTGAAATTCTTAGGCAAATGGATGGAACTACAAAATATCATCCTGAGTGAGCTAACCCAGTCACAAAAGAACACACATGGTATTCACTCACTGATCATTGGATATTAGCCCAGAACCTTGAAATACCCAAGATTCAACTCACAGGCCACATGAAGCTCATGAAGAAGGAAGATCAAGTGTGGGTGTTTCGTTCCTTCTTAGAAGGAGTAACAGAATACTCAAGGGAGCAAATATGGAGACAAAGTGTGGGACAAAAACTGAAGGAGGGGCCATCTGGATACTGCTCCACCTGGGTATCCATCCCATGTGCAGTCACCAAAGGTAGACACTGAGGTGGAAGTCAGGAAGTGCATGCTGACAGGAGCCTGATATAGCTGTTTCCTTAGAGGTCTGCCAGAGCCTGACATATACAGAGGGGGATGCTCACAGCTAACCATTGAACTGATCATGGGGTTCCCAATGGAGGAGTTAGAGAGAAGACTGAAGGAGCTGAAAAGGTTTGCGGGCCCCATGGGGAGGGGAACAATACCAACCAACCAGAGCTCCCAGGGTCTAAACCACCAGCCTGGGAGCATATAGGGAGGGACCCATGGCTCCAGCTGTATATGTAGGGGAAGATGACATTTTTGGGCATAGGTGGAAGAGGAGATCCTTGGTCCCAAGAAGGCTGGATGCCCCAGTGTGGGGGAATTCGAGGGCAGGGAGGTGGGAGTGGGGGGAGTAGGTATTGCTGCTCATAGAAGCAGGAGGAAGCGGGGTGGGATAAGGGGCTTCTGGGTGTGTGGGGGGGGGAATGGGGAAAGGGGATAACATCTGAAATGTAAATAAAATATCCAACTTTAAAAAAAAAAAAAGCCGGGCAGTGGTGGCGCACGCCTTTAATCCCAGCACTTGGGAGGCAGAGGCAGGTGGATTTCTGAGTTCGAGGCCAGCCTGGTCTACAGAGTGAGTTCCAGGACAGCCAGGACTATACAAAGAAACCCTTTCTCGAACCCCTTTCCCCCCCCCCCCCCCCAAAAAAAAGAAGAAGAATGAAGACTGCTCTTGTTCAGTTCCCAGCACCTGCCTCAGGGACACTCACAACCACTCCAGCCCTGGAGACCCACAGAGAGACACAGGCAGACTTCAAAAAGAAAATCTTATTTTTTTAAAGGCAGCTGCTGCCAGGTTTGTAAAATCAACATTGGAGAGGCAGAGATAAAGAGGAACCCTGGGGCTTGCTGACCAGAGAGTCTTGCCAAATTGATAAGCTCCATGTTCCATGAGGAACTCTGTCCCAAAAAAATAAGGTGAGAGGGCTGGACATATGGCTTAGCAGTTAAGAGCACTGGCTGTCCTTCCAAAGGTCCTGGGTTCAATTCCCAGCAACTACATGGTTTCTCACAAACAACTGTAATGGAGTCTGATGCCCTCTTCTGTTATGCAGGCATGTATGTAAGTAGAACACTCATATTCATAAAGAAAAAGTCTTTTGAAAAATGCCTTAAAGATAAACAAAGTGAGCACCCCCTTGGGAGCTGGAGGGGGATTACAGATGAGATTGAAGGTGAACATGATCAAAATAAATTATATGTAAGTATGAAATTGTATAAAAATCATTTAATAAAATAAAGTGAAAGCAAGAGGAAGACAACAACCTTTGGCCTCTGGGTGCACATATATACATATATACATACATGTGCATGCTCACATTTTTTTTTTGTTTGTTTGTTTTGTTTTTCGAGACAGGGTTTCTCTGTGTAGCCCTGGCTGTCCTGGAACTCACTCTGTAGACCAGGCTGACCTCGAACTCAGAAATCCACCTGCCTCTGCCTCCCAAGTGCTGGGATTAAAGTTGTGTGGCACCATTGTTCAGCTCAAAAATACTTTTTAAGTTCATAATTTACTTTCTTTTTTTCTTTTCTCTTCTCTTTCTTTCTTTCTTTCTTTCTTTCTTTCTTTCTTTCTTTCTTTTTTTTTTTTTTTTTGAAACAGTCTACTCTGTATAGCCCTGGTGAAAATTGGTGTCATGTTGTTAGTTGTTTTTTTGGTTTTTTGGATTTTTGGTGTTTCTGTTGTTGTTGTTGTCAACTTGACACAAACTAACATCATCTGTGAAGAGGAAGCCTCTACTGAAAATACCTCCATCAGCCTGGCCTCTAGGCAAGTCTATGGGGCTTTGGGACTTACTGAGATTTACTAAGTACAGCAGTCTGGTCAGGAACACACAGAGATCAACCTTTCTCTGCTTCCTGCACATTTACATTTTCTTGATTAATAATTGCTATAGGAGGGCCCAGTCCACTG